GGAACCAGAATTATTAAGATAAGAATTACATTCATAATCTTCAACTAGAAATTGATCTAAAATATGGGGGTTTTTTCCCCCTAAAAGCAGTAGCCATCATTTTCACTAAATTCCACAGATAATTAAATGTTGGGGAGCAGAAGTTTCAGAGATGGTTGGATGGGGCAAATATGAGCAAACATTCACAGATGATCTCGATAAACAAGAAGGAATCATAAACAGGGAGACATTCTCTGAGGTAACTTCAATACAAGAAGCACTTAATTGATTGGCATTTTATTCTAGTTATATGTCATGTTATATGTTTTCTTTAAATATCATGATTTATACATCAATTGACTTCTGATGGTTTACAACAGTAAAAAAGGTCAAAAAAGAATTAAATCCAAAACGGGGAAAAGGCTCAGGTTGTAGCCTTCCATTAGGCACAAAAGCCAGCTGGGGGAACTTGGATCAACCCAAATAATGGTCCGGGCTTGTGACAAGCTAGCTGAAAAACAAAATCCCTGATCTCACCACGCATTGACTTAACTTTGCTATAAGAACTAGGCAAGCCGAGAGCAAAACAAGGAGACCTTGCAGCCAGGTGGAACAGATGCTAGAAAAACTCAAACAATGCCAGAAATACAAAAAACAGAAGGACTTCACTCAGCAATCCCCAAACACCTCCAGAACAATTTCATTTTTTAAAATTAATTCTTGGAAAGCTCTAAGAATGCTTATTTGACAAGCCAGAAGGAGGGAGAGCGAGGTAGGAAGTTGACAAGAAGGCTTTTTATTCTATCTCCAGAGAATAAACTTCCTACCTTGCTCTCCCTCCTTTTGGCTTGTCTCTCTGGAAAAGAGAAAATAAAATCTTCTTCCCCCAGTCAGTCTCCTCTTCCCCTTTAAAAATCCCTCTCCAAGAGCCTCGCCCTGCCGTGGAGGTTGCCGGAGCCCCCGACCTCTCTGTCGAATCCACAGAGCTCTGGCAAAGCCTCCCAGCCAGCTCCGATCCCAGCCAGCACCAATCCCCCCCCCCAATTCCCCTCTCCGCTACACTTCCTTCCTTCCTTCTCTCCTTCTCCTCTCTTTCCATAGCAGATCTCCAGGTCAGACAGAACCATATATCGGGCCGGGCCTTGTGTTTGACATATCTGAACTAGAAGGTATCATTACTTTGAACAATAGAAGGGGAATTACCAGATCCATCCACAGCTAAATATGCATCAGAGGTGGCACACAACTGGCTCAAATACAAGGGATTTTATATATAAAAATATAACTAACACCATCACAACAAACTACTGGAGATTCTGTGATTAAATTCCAGGAAGAGAAGTACAACTAATTCCCTCCTGTTATTAATTAAATAGTGCTGCATGTTTTATAAAATGCTGAGTAGTCAGTACCAAGAACTGTATTACAGGGGTTGATCTTAACATTTCTAAAAACATTTGAAGCAAAGAAAGAAATAAGTGAATAAATAGGGAATTTTCTGGGGAAATTAAAGGAGAGTGAGTTCAGATTACCCACTGTATAATAAATATTTTCATTAATGTTTTGGATGAAAAAATGGAAGGATCATTATTAATATTGTGATATTAGGTGGGGTAGCTACAAGACAGGAGTAGAATTGAGAAATGTCTGTATAAGTTATAGAAATAGGTCTAAAGAGTCACTATGAAATTAGAGAGGGAAAGTTATTCTCTTAAGACATTACAATTAACTGCACATGTACACTGTACCTAGCTTGATATAGTATTTGTGATAAAGATCTTGAAATAGTAACTGAAGGAAAACTGAATATGAACTAGCAGTATGATATGGCTGCAAAGAAAGAACAAGCAGATCTAAGGTGCACCAAATAAAATCTACTTTGGAGGCCATGAGAAGAAATTGTCCCACTTAATTCTGCTATGGTTATCCCTGACTTGAGAATTAAGTTTCCCATTGTCTCTGCCCATTCAGTGTTTAAGTAGAGGGCATGCACTCCAGGTCTGCTCAATGAAAGTCATTCTGTGGGAACAAAGAACCATGCCTTCTCTCTCATTGCCCTTACCTTCTAGAACAGCACCTAAATCCCAAAGATATGCATGGCTCCCACTCTTCAAAGTTCTGGAAGTCTCCTAAAACCTGGTCCTATTCCCAGGCCTGGGTGGTTAGCATGGCTGCGAAACCCCTGTTGAGTCTTAAATGCTGAGAGTGCTGTTTTTCTCTAGGTAACCTTCTGGTTTTAGCTGCGTTTTAACTTAGGCACTGGAAATATTGCAAGGAATCTTTTTGGAGTCAGGCAGCCTTAACAAATCTGGAAAGAAAGGACTTGTTCTCTCACAGTGTTAGAATTTCGGCTCTGAATGTGTTTGAAATGACAAAAAAGTTACAACACACAAAAGACAAATACAGTTCTTATAGTTTTACATTTTTGTGGAGTCGAGAACTTGTGCTCAGCTGTTAACATGAACTGCAAAGCGATCCAGAGGCAGCAGAAGAAAAATCTTCTTTTTCTACCCAGCATGCAGTTAAATTGTGAAATTACTTTTCCAGGGTTACAGTAATGGCAGTCACTTTAGATGAAGTTAAAAGGAGCCAGAATACTTTCCTGAAGCTTCAGACTTATCAATGGCTGCTGTATTAATGACTGCTTACAGTTTTATCTTCTGCCTCAAAGGTACCATTCCACACTGGTTGCTGACAAGTGATAGTGGGAGGGAGTTATCACCCTCCAGTCAGCTTCCCACATGCATTCAATTAAACCCATATGACACAACATGCCCAATATAGTTTGTTCTTATGTAAACAATGTTACATCTGCTAGCTATATTGAATAAAAAAAAGATTGTTGAGATTGGTTACACCTTTGTACAGCAATCTTCTTCAACGTGATGTTTTCTGGATGTATTGGAGTTTGGCCATGCTGGTTAGGTTAACATTTATATCCTGGCATAGCTAAAAGGCTTCAACTTAAGAGATTTTACAGTTTTGATCAGTTTCCCTGAAGAAGGGGATTTTGTACAGTTCTAAATGGGTATAAGAAAGAGCAAACAAAATGATTAGAGCCTAGAACAACTCCTGTATAGTATGAAAAAAGACCTTTATTGGAAAAAAAAAGTAACAGGTAACACAATTCTGAAAAAGAGTGCAAAATTTGAAAATGAATAAGCAGAGGTTTTTCTCTATTTAATGACACCAGAATGCAGAATTACTCAAAGGAACTGAATGATGGGGAATCTAGACAGAGTAAAGTATTTCATCCAACATTTAGTTCATGGAATTTGCTACTAAAATATGTTGTGGTAGTCTTCCTTTCAAAGATTAGGAGAAAAGATTACAGGTAATAATTGAATTAGAGTCATAAGTCGTGATGGTCGTAAAGCTAGTCATCATGTGATCAACCTGAAGTTACAATCTTTTTGCAGTGATCATGAATCACCATGGTCATTAAGTGAATCCACAGTCATTAAGTGAATGCCATGGTTGTTAAGTGACCATTGTTTGCTATGGGGCATTTTTGCAAACGCCAGAAATAAATGCCCGTTTTCAGTGAGAATGTCCTAAATTGCGGCCATGTGACTGTAGGACCCTGCAAATTGCTGTAAATGCGAGCTGGTTGCCAAAACCTCTGAAATGCATCATGTGACTGCGGGGGGGGGGGCTGCATGCGGTCATTGGAACTTCATAACTGGTTCATAAATGCCTTTTGGGGGGAGGCTCTGTCAGAACTTCAAGCAGTCACTAAGGACTGGCTGTAAGTTGAGGACTACCCAGCACTTTTTTTTAGTTTTTAATAAATAAAGAATACTTGTAGTTAAATAGTAATATATTAACTTTAATATTTCTATCATTGTGAATATCAGTCGCTAGAAACAAGAATACTGTTTCATTTATGTCATGCATGGGGTTTTCCCACTGGCATTTAATCACCATTGAGGGAAACTTTGGAACGGATGGATCTATGATTTGATCCAGTATAACTTTCAGTTTGTCTTTGTTTAAAACAAAGTATCCTCATTATGTCCTTTTGTATAGAGCAATAGCAAAACAAGGTATCCTCCATTATGTGCTGTGAAAATTCCGGATAGGCCTTCTGTTTTCAGAATAAAGCTATGTGTTCCAGAGCATATACAGGCCTAGTAACCTGTTGCGAAAGATATAGATAGATGTTTGGCAGACTTTCTTGTTTGCTTTGTTGCCTGCAAATTTTGAAAATGGGTTCTTTTTGTTGACACAGCAAAGTCCTTGGGGATTTATGTTTGGGCAAATGATACACAGTTAAAGTCAATGATGTTTCTAGGAAGATTGTTTTCTGTAAACCACCTCATAGTTTGATTGTTTGCGTAAGAGTTCACTTTCTTCTGCTGTGTAATGATGAACAGGCCTGTGTTGTGTGTGCATCAGCAGCCTCTGAATATGTTCAAGGCAAGAAAGAATGTTGTCCCTTTAAACAGAAATTTATTTATGATGGTTGAGGTTTTGTGGAGTTTAGTCAGAAAAAGGTATGATGTAATACTACTATCTTTGGTTTAACATTTATATTGTATTTTAAAACTTTTGTTAGGAACCCAGAGTTGCATTTGTGAAATGGATGGCCAAATACATGGATTTAAATAATTTCTTGTTTGCAGATGTGTACATATTCATGGAAGTTAATAAGGATTTGACTAACAACCATGGCTAAAAATAGTGTCTTACTTGCAGAAATGTACATATTCATGAAAGTTGCTAATGAACACCTGGTGTAGGAGATGATCTTCATTATGACCTTGCTAAGCCCGAGGGAGAGGTCAAATGTGTCATCAGCCACAAGTCTTTTTGTGCCCACAAGAGGTCCAAGTCTAAGCCCACCTTGAATTCTGTTGACTTTTATTTACCACCAATTTGCTTTGACCATTAGTAGTTCATATTCTTGAGGAGAGCATTAGCATGCAATAAATGTTCACTTGTAGTGCTTGGACTCCTAATTTACTGTGCTTGACACCTCTTCTTATAATCTTTTTTGGTGTTTTTTTTTTCTTCCCCAGAAAAGGAGCTGCCTAGGAAAGTTGTCTGGGTGACTGGTGCCTCCAGCGGAATTGGAGAAGAGTTGGCCTACCAGCTGGCCAAAATTGGCTCTTGGCTTGTATTGTCGGCAAGAAGAGAAAATGAATTGGAGAGGGTGAAAAAAAAGTGTCTTGGTAGGGGCTATTCTAGAAGCTTATATATGCATTTTTTCCTTAACTAGGTTGCCATAATTACAAATAAAATTACAGAATAAAAATTAATATGTCCTTTGGCATATTTATAAAGAGCTATGCTAATTCCAGTTAGGTTTCTGCAGCATCTACCTGACCTTTCCTGGTTAAGTAAACTGGTCTAGTATTCACCTGGGATGCGACGCAAAAACCCAAGGCAGTAAGCAAGAATGGAAAATAAGAAACATTCTGGAAGGAAGCAACAGCAAACCATTTTGATAATGGTGCCAATTAAACTTGGCAATTATAGAAGGTATCCTACTGACAAGATTAGGAAAAATTGAATTATCAGCGGACAGCTTATTGACAATAAGATTATTTTGTCATCCTGATATTGTTCATGCTTTAGGCTGGTTGAGCTAGGCTGCAGTTGCATAGGTGTTTAGCTTATCTAGGTTTGCTTCCCTTTCTTGATATATAGCCAAGTGGAACAGAGAGGAAAGTCTTGGTGTTTTGTAAGGCTATCTCGCAAAATTAATGTTGCACATTATTTTTGCTCAGCTCCAGAAAGGTGCCAGATTAATTATCTTTGTTTGACTTATGGCAAGCGATTTAATCATTAACAGATGCCATCATATGTAATCCATGACTTGAATTCTAATGTATTGCTGTAGGAAACAAAGGTTTAGAGTCAGAGGAATCTATAGCATTTCAAAATCAGAGTTTCACTAAAAAAATCCAACAAAAATCATAAACCTCAGCTAATCCCACAGTATTGTGTTTTTTTGTCAATTAAAGTTCAATGCTCGAAGCTGTTAGAGTATCTTGTTTGTGTCTTTTTTGGTTTCACTGTGAGAGGGGGAGCCTTGCACACCTGTTTCCAAATAAAGTTGCTCTGAAACCACAGGTTGTCAAGTCACACCCCACAGATACCTCTACTGCTGCTACTGAAGTGAGATATGAAAATAGCAGAGTAAGCTTTAAAATTCACTGAGAGGAAGAGAAAGGAAACTTAATTTTCCTTTCAAATTCTGGGAAAACAGAACATTTAGGTTTAACTCATATGCAAGTTGGACCCAACCTGCAGTCCTCTCTTCCTCAAAATTTTAATTTTAAATGCTCCAGCAAAAATAGTCCAGCTTTTTAAAGCAGGAATGTGCAAAACTCTTTCCCAGAGTGTGCCAGTTTAGTTGTTCAGAGGTAGTTTGTAATTTTTTTGAACATAAACCTTCTAGAACAGGAAATAATTGACAGTTTTAGACAATTTACCTCTGGAAAATTTGAAAATCCCCCAGAATGGGTAGATTGGCATGCTCTTGGAGTAAACCAAAATATTCCGGGGAACATCCAAGCATTCTCTCACCAAAAAGCAAAGTTTTCTAAACTAGATATCTGCTGCTTTTAGTCTGGGGTTTTGCAGTGGGAGAGGAAGTTTTACCTGACATGATTGAGACTTATTTGAAGGTGGATTTTAAAATCACAGGCTAAGAGGACATGGAAAAAGATGTTACACTGCACATACAAAAAAAAATCAGCTGATATCCTAATAATTCAAAGGGATATACAAATAACAAACCAAGGAAACAACCTGGATAATTTCCCCATATTAGATTTAAAAAAGCTTTGTTAAAGCTTTGAAGAATTCTGTGAGAATACTTTTTATTCTTTCCAGCCCAATGTGCCTGTGTGATAACTCTCTGAAAGCCAAACAAAATGGGAATACCTTTGGTGTGTTAAGGAGAAGCTGGTAAAAAGTAGTTTAGTTCCAAAAATGGGATGGATCTGAATCCTCTGATCATCCCTATGGGAGAAGGGAGCACACAGCAGCTTTGCATGTTGCTGATTTTTCCATTCTAAGTCCCGTCTCTCCTCCCTCCCAGATACATGCCTCAGTGTGGATCTATGTATTCCCACCCTATGCTTCCCATACATGCATACACCAACATAGCCATTGCCAGTAAAGAATGACTGAAATCCAGTTCTGCCTGCTTTCCTTACCTTGCTTAAATTACAATATGAAGAGCTTACAGAAACTCCCCTTACTCTTATATTCTGCTCATAGATAAGCGGGGGCTATATAAAAGCCTGGATGAAGCTGTGCAGAAAAGGGACATTTTCCCAGTTTCATGCCCTTCAGACATGTTGGACTGCAGTTCCTCCTGTCTTCAGTTCACGTGACCCCTGTTGGGCAATAGGTTGAGAAAAGCAGCTCTAGAAATTACTTGTGCCTTCTGAATATTTTGTTAAGAGATAATAGTTTGGTTTTTCAGAGAGAATCACATCCCTCAGGAGCTTGGCCAAGAGCCAAAAGTGATCACATACTCATTCTCTTTCAGATGCCATCTTTTCTGTTTTCTGACACCAGGCAGTCCCTCCCAAATACCAGGGAAGGGACGAATCCCTTGTTGGATTTCAGAATCCATTTCTGCAAAGTAGCTTTAAAAATAGGCCAAGGGTCACATGCAATCAATCTGAACAAAGCAGGTTTCTCAATCTTGATTTAACAGACATCATGTTCTGAAGGGCTGAAAAATATATTTGAATTAAACCCGAAGGCCCCAGTAACAATATGTACTATGCTAACTTGGCACGTTAGTTAGGAAAAAAAAATTATACTAACAAATTATCAAGGGCATGATTTCCAAGTTGCAACATAAGGCTGTGAAAGATGCATTTTTAAACTATGATGTTGGAGAAAACTTATTTATTATTCATTAAATAAATTTATATAATCGCCCAACTCACACATAGGTGACAATGCAACTTACAATTTTTTAAAAAAATCTATCATATAATAAAAAAACCATTAAAAACCATCTCCACCACCCATGGCAGCAACAATACAATCAAGTCTGCCACTTGATTGTGGTCTGCACTCTAATCTGCCCCTCTGTATGTGGTCCACAGTCCTCTTGCAAAGCCATGTTTTTAGGGCCTTTTGGAAAAGCTACAGGGTGGGGGCCAACCATACCTCAAGGGGAATGATGTTTTATAAAGGTGATTGAGAATAGCTTGACTTGCAGGAAGAACAAATCATGCAATACCAAAGAGATGTTCACTGGGAATGGAAATATTGAAACCTGAGCATAAATATTGGGGGCACTATGCAAAGACAAGTCATTAGAGAGACTGTTCAGATAGATAGAATAAAATTTGAAAACAGAGCTGCCAATGGAAAATAAGTGGACTAAATGCAGTCACAAATGACAATAGCATGAATTTTAAAAAAAAACTCAAAAGAAGCACTTAATGGCCAAATGATGCTCATCAGACCAGGAAAAGTCAGAAGTGTGTGAAAAATTGAGCATCACAAGAGGAGAGAGGAGAAATTTGGGTGCCCCTTTCTGCATGCTGAGCTATGTTTATGGGGTGGGATGGAGGGAAGATCCATTATTTCTACAAGACATTTTATCATTTTCCCTTTAGAGATCAGCAGTCTAAGTGATAAAGATATCCTCATTTTGCCACTTGATTTGACTGAAAGGGAATCCCATGAATCTGCCACAAAGACAGTCCTTCAGCATTTTGGAAGGGTAAGTTTCATTTTTTTTTGAAAGGGGAGGGAGAAAGGAGAGAGAGAAAGAGAGAGATATTTGCTTTTGTTTTGGAATACAATTATTCCTTTTTTTAAAGGGGTTCAATGCGTCCGAGAGGGAGCATGAAAATGCAGATATGTGTGAGAAGCCCTTTCATATATATCCCAGACAATGATGTTGAAAGCACATAACGAGCTGGTGCTTCAGAAATTCAAACACATACAGCTATATTTGAGGTCTTGGAACTAGCTGAATTCTTGCATTCTGAGTCCAGAGTCATTTCAGTTCTTGATGCTGAATTTTTCCTTCATTTCCTTTCTTACAAAAGATTGACATTTTGGTGAACAACGGTGGACGTTCTCAGCGTTCTCTTTTCGTAGATACAAACATTAGTGTTTATAACGCTATAATGGAACTCAATTATCTGGGCACTGTTTCCTTAACCAAATTTGTCCTGGACCACATGATTCAAAGGAAGCAGGGAAAGATTGTCACGATGAGCAGCGTCATGGGTGTCATGGGAGCTCCCTTAGCAACTGGGTATTGTGCCAGCAAACATGCTTTGCAGGTAAGTCTCTTTTCCAGCTGCTTTGGTCAAATGAGGTTCCCAGAATGTGTTGTGAGTACAACTCCAAGAAGTTCTCCTGCTAGCATTCGTGAAACTGTAATTTCGTGATATTTGCGGGATGTTTTAGGATTATCTACAGTAGTAATTGCAACCAGAGAACTTGATGATGTTTGAAAGACCCTATACTTATATTAAGGCTGGTTAGGCCACAAAGATTTGGTTAAAAGAAGAGACCCCAGTATTAATTCTGTTTCCCCTGGACTACGTTGCATTTATATCTGGGCAATTCACATTAGTCCTATTGGCTAATCAGCAACAATAAAGAAGTATATCACCTTGAGCAATATATTTGGGCTGTTGTTCATATTATGAAATTCAAATATATACAAAAAGTTGTAACATGATCACATTTATTTTTGCATAACTCTGTAGATACCTATGTCAGATATCCAGTAAAGACACTACATATATTTAAAAAATGCTGGGTTGTGTAGATTGAAGTACTAAGTACTAAGCAGCAGTTGTGTTTCCCTCTCAATTAATGACCAGAATTCAGTGGCTGTAATAATTTAAGATTAGCAACTGGATGTTCCAGAATGGGGATAACTAGATAACAAAAACTTTGCAACATTGTAGGTTGTGTTTATAATTGCACATGTATGCAGTTACAGTCTTTGAGGCACATGATAGTTTATTCTTTTCATGGTTGTGGAGACCCTTGTAATAAAATTACTGCTGCTCTTTCTTAGGGCTTCTTTAACTCTCTTCGGCCTGAGCTTGCTGATTATCCTGAGATAAGTATAATCAATATCTGCCCAGGGCCTGTCCAGTCACAGATTATCCAAAATGTCTTTACTGAAGAAATTTCAAAGGTAGGAAATTATTTTATCTCCCCTTTATTATTTTTACAAATAACTCAAGATCGTGAACATAGCCAATGGTCCTTCCTCCTCCTATTTTCCCCACAATGACCCTGTGAGGCGAGTTGGGCTAAAAGAATGACTGGCCCAAGGACACCAGGCTGACTTTCATGCCTAAAGTGGGACTAGAACTCACAGTCTCCTGGTTTCTAGCCTCGACCTTAACCACTAAACCAAACTGATTTTGTTCCTTGATTGCTGATGATAGTGCAAAATAGGCCAAACCTGGGCCCCTATGTTGTGATTGCAATTATTTGCTAAGACCATTATTTTATCTGCCTAGAGAAATGTGCACTGTTAAATGTTGTTTAACAGGAAAGGGATGCCCATGGAATTTAATTCAAGCAATGGTGCACTGGCATTCTCTAACACAGTGGTTCTCAACGTTTCAATGCTGCGACCCCCAACCGCTCGTAAGTCAAGGACTACTCAACCGGTCATAAGTCGAGGACTACTCAACTGGTGCAGCACCATTTGAAGAATGGGACTTTTGGCGGGCTCAGCAGGGCAGAGACAACCTGGACAATTCCTATTGGCTTTTTAAAGCCAATAGAATTAGACTCTATTCAAGAGTCTAATAAAAGGGAGTAGCACAACTAAGGAAAAGGGGGGAAAATGGCGGACTGCGTTGTTTGGCGACCCCCGTGAAATGGTCGTTCGACCCCAAATGGGGTCCTGACCCACAGGTTGAGAACCACTGCTCTAACAGCATATCTATTCCTAATTTGTAACTTGAACTTTTGTTGTTCTTGTTCTGATTTTGAGTTTTAGTTTTTCCTTATGATGGCAAAAAGGAGAAGGGAATCTTCATTAGAAGTTCTGTAATGTCAAGTAGCTAATTTTTTAAGGAGGGGCACAGATTAATTTGCCTAGTGAGACATACTTGTAGCACATTCTGATTTTCTCTAATTTTCTATTGTGTATTCACTTCATTACCAGGTTAATCAAAACGTTGGGGACCAATCTCACAAAATGACAACTCACCGCTGTGCTCGCTTAACCTTGGTTAGCATGGCTAATGATGTGAAGGAAGCCTGGGTCAGTGACCATCCCTACTTGGCAATTTGTTACATGTGGCAGTATATGCCCACCTGGGCATGGTGGCTATTGAACAACATGGGAAAGAAGCGGATAGAGAACTTCAAGAGTGGAGTGGTATGTTCTTAAAATAGAATCTATTTCCTATCCTGGTATCATTTAAACCTACTAAATTGGCTGATTTGAGAAGGCAGTAAGTTATACAAACTGCCAAATTTATATCTCCAGGTTTAGGTCTCCTTGCAAGAAATTGATATTTTGGCTCTATATACCCCTTTAGGAGTGACTGCAGCTCTATTTTTAGCAGGGACATCCAAAATTATGCACTTCAATTGAACAGTTGTGTCTGCCACCTTGATTTTTAAATTCCATCTCTTTTGCTCATGCATTTATTTGTTCCTGCAGTTCCAATACCTGCATGATATAAATGCACATGCCTGTTTGTTTTGGACTGGACATTTATGGGAAGGCCAAACACAAAGGTTCCTGTTTTGAATATTAGGTGCACAATCTGAAAGCTGTACACATATGTTTTTGTGTACATCCCAGAATATATCCTCTTGTTCCAGTTCTAGATCTTTAGCTTTCTCAGAGGCTGCAGCGCGGATGTATACAACTCCTATTACTTTATGAATGCACAGGGCTTTGCCCAACATAACAGAGAACTGCATTTTAACAATGCTTGGGACTGGGATCCAGTTAGTTTAATTTTTGGAATAGTTGAGGGTTTGTGGGGTAATTAACCTCTTGTGTCCTTATGCAGTTTTCCTGTTAAACCTGCAAAATGCAAAAGAGAGAACAGACCACATTTTTGGCTATCTATTCTGTAAAGCACCAGAGATATCCCAATTCCCCAGTGGTGGTGGGTTTCACTTTTCTTTCCGCTTTGGAGAAATGACAGGAGAATATAATCTGGAGCTCTATTACAGGTCAAACCATCGGTCTTCCCATCATATGCATTGAGTTCTTCCCAAGAACTAAAATTATTATGTGTTGTTGCACAGTCAGAAGTTATTATTTATTAGAATTTGCTATCCAACTTTTATTCCTTTAAGCTCCATTGAGAAGGCATTTCAAAGTTTAAAGGAAAATATTACCACTTTCTGATGTAAACAGAAGGTGGTTATCTGAATGTATTCTCTGATATAAGTACAGAATCAAGGCAAACCAGATTTTCAAAGTATATTCTGGAAATTTGCAAAGCCAAGTTCATAGTTTATCAGAGCCAAGATGCTAAATAGGGCATTTAAACCAGATGAGATCCTTCCATCCCAGGAGTTTTAACATGCTTTAATTCCAGACACAAATGTTTTATTTAATGAAATGCTACAGATTCAAGATTTCATATTTAAATGTTAAAAAAATGTAGTCCTAGGAGGTGTATTGGATTAGCTAAGCCTTAAAATGTTGCAATTCACTAGTTTTGTATGGATTATAAGTTATCACAGTTTTATATTGTTTTAAAGTGAATAACTGAGTGGGAATTGTATGTTAATGACACTTTTTTTTGCTTTTTCTGAGTTCTACATGCATATTATATGCAAGTGATTGAAGTATTCCAGGTGCGTTGCTTACTTTATTTGAATAGCCTTGCTTAAGTAGCATGTATGGTTTCTTACAGGATGCTGATGTTTCTTACTACAAAAAGTCTTCTTAAGAGAAAGAAGCAGCCGAGCATTCTTTCAAACATGAACCAGCATAAAGAAAAGAGGAACCTCTGCTTGAAAAGTTTATGGTTTGGCAAAAAAAGATGCAAAAATGTGCAACAAAATGGATGTACCTGTAAAAAGCTTCTGCCTTTGCAGCATGAAATGGCTAGTTCTTTCACTTGTTGGCTTTTCAATATATACATCAGGATGATGATTCAAATCTATCTTTTTCTCAGCCCATCTCCTCAAATACTGGTTGGGTTTATATAACACTAGCCTATAACATGGTTATGATCTACTGCAGGAATGTGCAATCTCCACTGGCTTCAGATCCACACAAACTTTTCATAGTATGCCAGGGACTGTATTCTTAAAGTGAATTGGCCAGGATCCATTCTCAGGAGCTCCATGGATGCATTAAGCCTCTGCAGTGCTTAAAGTGCTTATTTCAGCCAATTAAACCCTTCCCTTTCAAAATGCAAAAACAGCAACATTTTTGGCCCCAGTCAGGATTGGGACTGAGGATGGGAAAATGAATGGCAAAGGGCCACAAACAAGACCCAGCCACATTCACAATATGCTATATGAACCACAGTGATTATGTTCTCTTAATAAATAGCTTATTATAATATATGAGCTCAGTCATATTTTTGAAACCTTTAGTAAATCACTTAAAATGTGCTCTATTTCAGTCTTTTATAAGCTAGCTTAATAACTTCTATCTGCTATTTCCAACTCAACAATGAAGTACTAAAAAGCCAGTGTTGATTCTTGGAGTTACACTGTATGATTTACAGTTCTACCAACTGCAGATGAACAGAATTCTTTTTCACTGTGACAGGAAACTAAATACAGATTTTATAGTACCTCTCCTACAAGCAATATAGCCTTATGATGGTAAATCTGCTTGGTCAGGCCTTGACAACTCTAAACTTTATGACTGATCTGTCAGGTAGTATATTTGTCTCCCATTGTGACCTGGCTTTCTGCTTTTTTGTGTACCCTCACAACCTATTTTGTTGACCTCCCATTTTTTCCTCGTTAGTAAATAGGCAGGATTTGTTTGTAAGTAGGAGCATGGTTGCAAGTCTGTGCTTATGGTTGCCGAATGAGGCTGGAAACCAGGATATTTCTTTCCCCTAATATTCAATTTGTAATTCTTAACCAATGTTTCTTTTTCAAAATTGAATAGATATTAAATATTTTTTTCAAATATCCCTTTCATAATACAAATGTATGATTTAGCAAATGAAAAAAATAAACTTATACTATAACAATTATAGATATAATCTCCATCTTATAGTAAAATACTTATCTATGGTTTAAGGTATATAAATTTACATCCCTGTGAAAGTCAATACAGTATTGGTAATGGTTTGGGGGATTTTGTATAAAATGCACACAATATACATCATTAAAATGCATAATTTTCTTATTGCCTGCATTAAGTCTTCTCCCATAGTCACCTGATGCTGAAAGGCAAATGGTCAAAATTCCTCTCCAAAGAAGTGCCCGATTCCACACTTATTTTCAGTGGAATGAACTGACTTCATCCTGGGAACTACAAGAAAGTCAGATGAAGAGGTTCAGAAGAATAAACAGGATAGCCAAGGGGAGGATCTGCAGCTTGTATGGTCAGGTTCCTCAGGAGAACAGGGTGTGCTTGGATGCTATAGCGTTCCTCATCATCATTTGTGGCATATAACAGCTCCCAAGACAGATTCCCCCACTGTCCTCTGACAGCTTCATCATTCAGTTTTCCCACTTGTACTAGGAATTCTTGAAGTGTGAGTATCCTGCAAGTGTAAACTCCCTGAAAAATAAAGAGAAGTACAAAGAGTCACCTTGTCTTTGAACACTGCAGAGAAATCAGATTTTATTTTTCTTCACTAAGAAAAATCCGGGCCATGGATATTGTGAAAACTGTTGATCAAGATATGGTTGGTCTAGAGCAGACATGTCAAACTCGCGACGTCACATGACATCCGCAATGTATCGGGCCGGTGTTTCCATTGCCGGCAATGGGATGGGTCAGTTTAAGTTATGTTCCTTTTAATGTACGGGTTAATGGAAGAAGACTCTGAATCCCAACCAGTACAATTCAACAGACTCGGTGCTTCTGTTAAAAAATGTCATCTAGTGACACGTTGGATGTGTGTATTCTAGGTCACGGTGCCTCTGGTACAGATAGTCCTCAACTTACAACAGTTCACTTAGTGACCATTCAAACTTACAAGAGCACTGAAAAAAGTGACTTATGACCATTTTTCACACTTATGATTGTTGCAGCATCCCCATGATCACCTGATCAAAATTCAGATGGTTGGCAGCTGGTTCATATTTATGACCATTGCTATATCCCAAGGTCATGTGATCACTTTTTGAGACCTTCTCACAAGCAAACTCAATGGGGAAGCCAGATTCACTTAACAACTGTGTTACTAATTTAACACCAGTAGGGATTCACTTAACAAATGTGGCAAGAAAAGTCATAAAATGGGGCAAAATCCACTTAACAAATTTCTCACTTAGCAACATAAATTTTGGGCTCAATTGTGGTCATAAGCTGAGGTCTACCTGTGTAGCATTCCCTCGGAAATCTGCATGGCTCCCACCCTGATGATGTTTTGAAAAGCACTAAAACTGGGATATTGTCCAGGCCTTCAGTTGGGAAGCTGGTGAGCCTGTAAGATTTTGTATTATTCTTCAAGTTTTGTTTTGCTTTTTTCCTTTGGATGCATATCATCTGTTATGTCAGTCATTTTATTCCTTGGTCCCAAATTATTGTTACAGTGCTTTTATCACAGAGATAATCAGTTTGAGGTTCCAGGCCACAAACAGAAATCTGGACCTCTAAAAGTCTCTAAAAATGGTTATCAAATTGCAATTTTAATTATGATAGAGGTGGGTAATGTCAAAACATGGCTAGAGAGTGGTCATATTACATACATAATCCATTTTAGTACAGATCGTCCTCCATTTACAACCATTCATTTAACTGTTCAAAGTTGCAATGCTGCTGAAAAAAGTGACTTACAACCATCGCAGCATCTCCATGGTCATATAATCAAAATTCAGACACTTGGCAACTGCATGTATTCACTATGGCTGCAGCATCCTGAGGTTGCATGATGTCATTTGCAACCTTCCTCAGGGACAAACAAAGTCAACTGTGTGATTTGCTTCACAACTATGGCAAAATGGTCATAAAATCAAGGGTGAATTGTTTAATGACTACTTTGCTTAGTGATGAAAATTCCAGTCTCAACTGTGTTTAAAGACAAGGATTACCTGTATGTCATGATCCCACCTTTTTTTTTTTAATGCAGCCCTCCAAAATATAAAGTCCCTCAGCCGAGAAAAAAATTGAGCATTTTTGTTTTAAAAGATTAAGTACAGGAATTAACTAAACAATATTTACACAATGAAACTTTAAACCCTAAAAAGACACCTAGAACAGACATGTCAAACACAAGGCCCGGGGGCCAGATGCGGCCTGCGAAGTGGTTTCACGTGGCCCGCGAAGCCATTCTGGAAACAGTGAGGGAACAGCTCCCGCTGCCTTGGTCCTGGCCCAGGCCGGCCAGGAGCCAATGTACAATTTTGTGGTGGCCATCTATGCTGAAATGTATTCAGTCTTAGCTCCACAAGGCCGTCTGGAAACGGCCAGGAACCAGCCCCTGCCGTGTTGGCCCCATCCCCTGGGTGCATGCTGGGGAGGTGTCACCCTATGAGGAATGAAGAAATGCACCATCGCCTGGAAGTGCCTCACCTACTTCACATATCTGGCTTGATGGGTTCTGGGGGAGGGGTTTCGGCAGGCAGTGGGGCGCTCTCCTCACAGCGCTGAGAGGTTGAGCCGGGCAGTACAAAGCTCACCAGCTTTGCACCTTGTTGCCTGCTGAAATTGGGCAGGCTGAGGATTAGGCAGCATTGCACTTCTCATCAGATTCGTGCCACCCGGCTCAGCTCTTGGCGCCCCGCTGCCTGCCGAAACTGGGCAGGCTGGGGGCTGGGCAGCATCGCGTTTCTTTTTGGATTTGTGCTGTCCGGTTCAGCCTCTTGGCGCTGTGAGGGAAGTGCCCCTCTGCCTGCTGAAACTGGACAGGCTGGGTGGCATCACACTTCTTTTCAGATTCACGCCGCCTGGCTCAGCCTCGGCGCTGTGAGGAGAGCGCCTTGCTGCCTGCCGAAACCGGGCAGGCTGGGGGCTGGGTAGCATTGCGCAGGTAACGTTGACTCTCACGCTGCTCATGGCACCCCCCCCCCCCAGAGCCCACCAAGCCAGATATGTGAAGTACGTGAGGCCATGTGCTGGCCACTTCCAGGCGATGGTGCATTTCTTCATTCCTCACAAAGAGTGACATCTCCCCAGCTGCGTTTCTTGCCTGTTTTTCTCTCTCCCTCATCTCAAATATTTTCCCACCACTCTGTTCTTAGGAAGAAAGGAAGGAAGGAAGGAAGGAAGGAAGGAAGGAAGGAAGGAAGGAAGGAAGGAAGGAAGGGAGGGAGGGGAGGGTCTGAGGGAAGTCTTGCCTTAGTCCTGCCCTGCTGCCCTTTCACCATCCTCTTGCCCCCTCCATCTGGCCTATCCTGGGAGTCTCCCATCCTATTGCTAAGAAAGCTTTGGATACAAAGCCGGGTCTCCTCCCATGGAGAGAGAATGGGCCTCTCTCTGACTTTGCCCTCGTACCCATCATGAGCAACCTGGCTAAGGAGAGCAAGCACAACAGCAGCAGCCTTGAGGAGGAGTTAAGTGCAGCTGGGTGCCCCCTTGGGGAAGTGGGGCTGGGTTTGGTGCCGTGGGTGCTTGAGGGCCAGGCTGGGTGTTTGACCTCTGCTGCCCAGGGCTCCGGGCAGCCCGCACCACCATCCAGTCCCACCCACATGGCCTGAGAGGCTCCTCCAGTAGACCATGCCTTGGCACTTGCCCTGGTCCCACCCTCTTCTGCCAGAGACCCTCAGATCTGTCCCACACCTGCCCAGGCCCCCACAGGCACCCTTGACGCGAACGATGTAGAGCTGGCCATGCCCACCCAGTAGGCCATACCCACTCCATCCACACCCACCTGGTAGGCCGCACCCACCCTGGCCACCCCCCCCCCCGAGGGCAACTGCAATGTTGATGCGGCCCTCAATGAAATTGAGTTTGACATCCCTGACCTAGAATATAACTTAATATGTTTTCTGAAAACAAAGCAAATGTTATCAACTGCAATGGCAAATTCTGAAGTTGGAAGTGACACATAAGCAGTTTTTTTCTAATAGGATTCCACAAGAATGAATGTCACAATCAGCTGTGGATATCTTACTTAGGCAGATTTTTAATGAAACAGATCTTAAGCTATTTTGTTAAGGAACTTACATTAATAAACTAATTATTTACAGACTTTTCCAGAAACAAGTCCTTCATTGATACTTAGCTTTGCCATCTAAATTCACAATGAAAACATTAATTAATTATGCCACCTATTACTAATGGAGGGCTAGGATCACAACACCAGCTTGATAAACAACTACTTGACAAGAGCAACAGAAAACATATGTAAGTATTGCCATTAAATTCAAGAATGGAATAAGTGGCATATTAGTGAAAAATCCATTTAAAAGTCATGAATCTCTTACCATATTTGGATCATGCCCCAAAGAAAAAAGATATGGCGTTTCTTGTAAAACAGCTTGTGGCCATTCCTTTTCAGACACCAAACCAATGTACCAGTCATTTTCATATTCTTCAAGATAGTTTAACAGCTCTTTAAAATCTTCAACTGGACCCAGGCTTGCTTTATCAACCATAAGCTTCACTGTATATCTGATAAACACACAACACATCAAAATATATAATGAAAAAAAAAGCAGAATAATTCTAGAAATATATCTGGACAATAGCCTCTATAATGATATATAAGTGGATGGCAGATCTATAGTAGTAGGTTTAGTTATCAACTTGATAGACAACTTATCAATTTGACAGATAACATCTCTATCATATATGTTTGGGGCCATATATTGCAAGCATTATGAAGGCAGTCATACAGCCTCCAACCTACTACTGTTAATTCAAATCCAATTTCTCAATATTAAGATCATAATCTCCTATGAAAATCTCCTATTTTTAGTCTTATGATGATAAATTTTTGTCTTTGTTTGGCCAGTAATTTCAATCGCTGGTTCTAGAAAGCAGACTAAGTGACAATCAAATTTGTTGAGTTGCCTTTAGCAAACTGAAGGTATAGAGGTTTGTACATTATAACATATGGATTAGCAGGATATGGAAGTTCACTAATTATAGCGTAGCTGACTGCCATAACCTAGGGCAATATATGAATCAGATCGTTATTAATTTCCTTCCAATATGTTATCTTAGCTCTCTTTTTCATTAAGCATTTATCAGGCAGCACATACTCATCTGGCTGGGCATGGCATTTTATTTGCTAATCTAAACACATCAAAGCAAAATTTAAAATTGCTTTGAACCTGCATAACTTTCTAACAATTTCACACTGAGAAGACATATCAAAAATTCCTCCCTCCTTGAATACTGGAACAAAGTTAATACACCTACCATTATTTCAAACCAAATGGTCTGGACAGCAATAGCCTGTGGAGTAGATGAGTAGTCCATTGCCAAGTGATTCTTGTGCGCAATTTAAAAGTGATATTTTATAAACTTTTATTGAATTTCACTGGGCAAACTTGAGACAATTCACATTATGTATCTGCTGATGTTTGTATATTGCACTGAGTGTACATACATAACAATCTGCCTCCTAGCTGTGGGTGTGCATAAGGAACTACTGACTCTTATGCAACACTTTTATTTTCTTGCCACAATACAGTCCTTGAGTTACGAGTGTAAAACTCGCAGAGTGAATCTCTTACCTCAAACAAGATCACTCCCTTGCTTGTTAAAATGCACACGACTTGTTAAGTGAACATGAGGTATTTCAGGGTGGGGAAGGCCATGTAGGGCCTAGTTATGGAACAGGTCCCCAAGGCCTCCCCAACACAATAAGATACATCATGCTTCCCCCTCCCTTCCTGCTGCGCCGGGCTCACCTGGAAAAGATCCTCTCTGCCGCGGTTCCTGCTGCTGCCCCGGTCCGAGGCCAGGAGAAGTTTCCGCACCCCCCGCGGCCTGATCCGGGTTCCAGAGGCCTTTTTCAGGCCACTGCCACCCAAAAATAGGCCACTGGAGGGCTATGTAAGCGTTCCCCGGGCTCAGATCCAGGCAGCAGTAGCCTGGAAAAAGCCTCTGGAGCCCAGATCGGACCGTGAGGGGGGTGTGGAAGCATTCCCCAGCTTTAGATCTGGGTGGCAGCAGCCTGGAAAAGGCCTCCAATGCCCCAATCCAGCCTCCGGAGGCACGTGGAAGCGTCCCCTGGCTTCGGTTCCATTCTGTGTTGCAGAGAACAGAGACCTAAAGTACCATGAGATTACGCGAGATCAGTAGTGTGAGATCTCACCCAACTGATCTTGCATTAACTTTAGGCCTCCATTCTCTGCGAAAGTGCCGAAGGCCTGGAGCAGCCAAGAAAGCGAAGGATCTCGATCTTCGCAGGGTGAGTATTGAAGGCCTGGTGCCTAGGGAAACCCGGGCAGGGGTGGGGAGGGAGGGAATAACCAGGGTGAATGTTGCAGAGCCACTGCGGTCACTCATAAGAGCGAACGATTGCCGTGGTGCTGCAATATTCGCAATTTCAGGACTTGCTCGTAAACACTAGGGGGCGTAATTTTGAACGAGCATTAAGTGAATGCTCATAGCTCGGGGATTACCTGTATAAGAAAACTTTGTCACTGAGAATTTCAGGAACACATTAGTGAGATTTCATTACAAAGCAATAGCTCTTCTGCTATAGCATTATAGAAACTGATCCCTTAGAATAGTTATTTTAAAAATTCACCAATACTAACTTTTTGTAGCGTATGACACTGCTCTCTCTCCTGTTCTAAAGTTTTGGAAGCCTTTGACAGTTTACGTTTTTTGACTTAACGAGCAATACCATTTTCAGAATGCCCCTTTCTATTCTACCTGTAAGGCTTTTACAAAGTAAATATACCTGAAATACCAGTCCGTCCATTTCAAAAGGTTTCTGTATTACTTATACAGTACATCCTTCCAAATCAAAATCTTAACTGGGAGTGTTTATTAACATAGAAATGCTATACATGGAAACATTTGGGGATTATCTTCTCATCTTTACCCCTTTGGCCTCTGATAGACTAACAAGGACAGCAAACTCATAGACCATGATCCAAAAACACCTCTCTCCTGGATCATATGTAGTTTCTTCAGCAGGCAGGATCTAGTTGGCCTTGTCTAGACTTAGATACTTACCAGGGATGAGAATGATCCTGATTAGCATGTGGATAGGGAACTTCCAAGAATACTAGGAGTGAGAAACTGTAAACTGAATGGTTGTGTCCCTGAAGACAGTAAGAGACAAATTTGACTTGTATAGCTTTTATGACTATAAATTTATTTGTTTTATAGCCAGAATATTATTCTTATCTTAATTACCTGAATGTTTTTAGTGTTAATTGATATAACTCTTGATTTCCTATTAACCAGTCTACACAGACTGACCACGGAAGGCTTCCATTGTAGGCTCTGAAAATATGACCAGGAGATACAACAGTATCCTCTAATCCAAACATTGCAATGTAACAGGATAAGGCACTCTGGACATACAAATCCTTCAAAGCAGTGTCTTTAAAAAGATCTTCGAGTAAATTCGAAGGGTTTTCTTTCAAATGAAATAGGTCTAGCTGGCGAAGTAAAAAATGATACCATTCTATTGGAAACTTCTGCTTCATCTGATGGAATTTGGCAGCTGATAATGGTGCAGTTCTCCATTCTTCAGGAATGCTTAATAACTCAGAATAGAAGTTACTGAATTTAATAGGGGATGAATCCATATTTCCCCACTGTTTTCCAGCATCTACAACAGGAAGACCGAGAACAACTGTTTTATACAGTTTATTCACACTGGCTACTTCAAGTACTTCATCATCTGTAGTATGTATTTCTACTGAGCCTGGAAGAGAATAGAAAGGTCTTGGTGAACCACTTTGTGGTACTGTGACATTTGTTTTTAATGTTTTTTTGCTAGGTTCATCATCAAAGAGATTGCTATCATCAGTCCACTCTTCTGTAGATTCCACACTGAGTCCATCTTCCTCTTTCCATGAAACTGGTCTTTCTATTGCCTTAAAAACTTCAGATGGTCCTGCTGAAGAGTACTCCTGTTGAGGTTTAGACATCTTTTCAAGGGTTCTAGGTGTTTTTGACTTCTTATAGCAGTACTGAACTAGCATCCATAAGAGTACTTTTATGAAGTCTTCTTTCAACTGCTTCCGATTTTCAGGGGAATCAATTATTCCAGATAAGGTATTTCTGGCATCTGAGTAGAGTTTTACAGGAAGAGCAGCACAAGGTGTTAAAATATTTCCAAAATGAGGGTTGAGGGAGAACATCTTATTATGTTCCTGATGTTCAAAGGCCATCGCAAAAATATCATCAACTCTGTGAGCTTCAGCAGTATGACAGGAGGTTTCCTGCAATTCTAAACCCTGGATTAAAAGGGGGGGGAGGGGAAAAAAGCCACCCAAGGTATTTCAAGTACTTGTATAGACACCAAGCAGCACAATGTTTCAGATATAGGCTGAATACATACTAATTTACTGAACTATACAAAATCTTAATATTGAGGATAATATTATTTACAACACTTCTTGATTTGGATATCACAGCAATCTGGAATTAGAATAATGAAAACAATGTAGAAGAGGGCGGAGCAAAGATCATGTTCCTCATCAGCCAACCAATGCTAACCATTTAAGCCATACTAACACATCATGCTCCTTTTTTTATTTCTTTCTTTGTTTCCCATTTAAACCCAGAGCAAAGATTTAGATTTGTACTATGATTATCACATGACAAATAAGGCAGTGCATAATTTAAAAATGATTCAGAAAAAGCATTCCAATCTTGTACAAAAACAGTTCCTCTGTGCTATTCATCAAAGTCATCCAACATTTTGAGGATTTAGCTTAAAGTTGCAAAAAGGTGCTGCTGTTCTAAGAAATTTGCTTATTAAAAATAAAGTGATGTTTAAATGACACCAATTCATTTTCAGAGTGTGCACAACTTTACAAAGTATCTCAGTATCAACTTATATGGGACAATTATGAGAATCAGTAATGTTAGATAACATTCTTGCTCTGATTATCCAAGATGACTTTCAAGATGTGTTTGATTACTTTTATCTGTGACATTTTCACTAGAGAAATGGAATTACAAATACTAAAATACAAACAATGACAATTTGTAATAAGCCCCATATCTGATTCTTTCATTTTTCATAACACAGAAGGAAAGTCAAACTGGAAGTAGTGAAGAAGCAAAAAATAAAGAGAAAAAAAATCATGTTTTTATCTTCTTTTCCTCTATTTCTCCAAGTAAGTTAAATAATGCTACAAGGGTTATTAGATAGGAATTTTCTTGCTCTACACAGAGAAGTCGGAATTGCAGAATTAGTCTGTACCACTAAACCAAATCTATCCCCGACTTTCTAAGAATAAAAATACATCACAATTCTATATTATTATACAGTAACAATAATTAAAAGTATAAAGGAGCAGTGACTATAGTGAAAACTGCTAAACAGGCAATTGTAACCACATTAAGCTATGATGTGGACTGGAATAATTGAGGCATAAGAGAATGCAATATTCAGGCAGGAATTTTTTCATAGCTAGTACGCTGGACCAGTTACTTTCTCATAAATTCCTCTTTATGATTATTACAGATAAGTGAGAAAGCAACACAAGCCTTTGGAGGAAGGAAGGATAAAAGCATAAAAGACTGAAGCGTGGAGTATTATGATTAACTTTCATCCATCTATCCAAGCTCTTTCTAGAAGATACTCCCTCCCAACACCCCATCTATCGAACTTTCATTCTTCCCAATACACACTGTATGTATTTGTTTTGGTATACTTTATTGCTTCTCTAGCCCAATGGTGGCACCATTTTGGCTAGTTTCTAAACATGGATATTAATAGGCTACTGTATATGTAGTCAGAAAATACAACAACCTCTTAAACTGAAACTAGTGAAAATGGCTGTTGTTTTCAACTTAATAGAAAACTGAATAGCTTTTAAGTGAATCAAGTGAGCTTTTATTTTCAACTCTTCTCAGTTATATGAGGCAGCTAGTTCATATATGTTGCACATTTAAGAAGTATGGTAACTTGTACTAATATATAAAGGAACTACAGCAGAACAGCACATGCTTTTTTAATGCTACTTGCCTTGATATTAAGACAACAGTAAGTGTAGCCTCTTTCTAAAACAAGGATCCATATTAATCTGTCTTGAAATCGGCACAAGTAGTGGGATCCAGGTGAACAGATACCTTTGGAAACAAGAATCTCAAAATAAGGATTAGCTTTTACTCCAGGATATTTTGATCTACACTGTCCTCATTTTAATAAAAGTTAATCACATAATATAATAACATGATGGAAAAGAAGTATATAAACAAACTAGGTTGTATTATGGATTCATTTAAAACCACTATGTGAGCTTATTATAGATATGAATTCTAGATACATGGCTATTAATACAACTTGCATTTTTTCAGATATTTTACTGCTTAGAAATTTTAATAAATGTGGTGGTTTTATAACATGAACAGAACCTTATAATTATGAAAATGCTATTCCTAAAATATCCCGGTGACAAAAGAATTAGTGACATTTCGATAACTATATAATTTTCAGGTATTTCAGCTGGAGTTTAATAAAGTTTTGTAATTTTCTGCAAAATATTAATTACAAATATATATTAAAATAAAACTCCACTATTGTACATAACATAATGTTACATCAATTCTCTTTCTTTGATATACTTGTAGAGGTCATTATTATTATTAAATTTATTTGCCACTCATCTCACAATTCGAAGCAACTCTGAATGGCTGAGGTTAGGGAAATATCATTGCATCAGTAAATTTCCAGTCATGTCCAAACTATCACAGCTGAAAATCTTAAATTTCAGAATAGCCTAAAAGTGAATTCAAGAAACCTGCCTTTATATCATTAAAATTAAATAGCCTTTTTAGAACTGCTGAACAAAAAGAGTGCATTCTCTTGCTACCATTTTTATATGTATAAAAAACGTAATTCTACACTGCTGCTTAAACTGATAAAATATGCTCAGCCTGAATATATAAAGTGATTAAATTTATTTGCCACCCATCTCACAATTCGAAGCGACTCTGAATGGCTGAGGTTAAGCATACCTAGTCAAGAGTCCCATTAAAGACCAGAGTCTTTTTTTAAAAAAAAATTTAAAACATTTTTAATTCCCTCAGCATATAGCCCCTAATGATCAGGCTGCTACTTTTAGTTCTCTGGTTAGTTGTGGAAATTTCAAACATCTCTTTTTCTTCTCTCTCCAGTCATTACAGAATCAAAACCATCACCTACATTGCTGCATTGGGTGGACTCTGGGCTAATTGCTATCATTCAGCCAAATTACTCTTAGGATTTTGTTGTAGAGATTAAATTGGATCAGGGAATACATGTAGGCTACCTTGAGCTCATGGAACAGAGACAAGCAAACCAAAGCATCAGTTTGGTGGTATAGGAAGAAATTCTATTTTCATTTCTATGATACTGAAATTTCACTCAGATTATATCAGCAAATAATTTCCTACATCTATGATATTATTACACAAGAGCCTGTAAATCAGTCCTGCGGTGTCTAGAAACCTGCAGCAGAGATTCCTTTGCAGATAAGGGTAAGTTCATGGATGCTAGGTCAGTTGGTCTCATGAGCAGAATCAATTTTTAACTTACCTAACCTGCCTGTTGAGAATGCTGATTGCAATGCAGTCCTTAAACTTGGAATCATCTGTTGATAATAAACAGCATCAGGACCTATACAGGCCATCATGCCCACAGGTCCTGGCCAGCTTCGGACTGGTCTTGGAAAGCCTATCAAAAATATTGGGAGACTAAAAAGTGATAGCAAGGGGGAAGAAAGCAATGAAGACAGCATTATGATGGCCAATACAATTGGAAAGAAAGCAATGTTCAGTGTAATCAGAGTAGCTGTGGATTTCCGGCGTTGTTTTTTTTCTGTCCACGATGTCGAGAGAACAGTAATGGCAAACTGCAATTTTGAAACAAATTGAAACAGCCGACTCCGAATAATTCCAACCTAATAAGAGAGAAATAGCAATAATGTTTTTCCTTCATTTATATGCTTCTTTTTTCTAAAGCATTTGGAGTGTTCATGAAAGACCCTGAACTTTCATTAGTGAAGCAGCTCAAGCTTTTTGAACTTCGATTGAAGAATCTGAATTGATTTTGAAAGGAGGGTAAAAAGAGGAAATTAACTTTGCCAATACAGAATGATATGAGGCTGCTTTTGAAAAATCAGAAGGTTTTTCCCAGATTAACTGAAGTAGGCAAATAAGCATTATGACAGATGTCCTGTTTGTCAATATGTCACGAAGTTTAATTCAAAATGAAAGTCTTAAATTTAAGATTTAAATAGTCTAAAACTTGACCAAAAATGTATCAGTTATGCACACCTACATGAATCTGCCCAATTTCAAAAATAATCTACTGGAGGCCTTGCTCAGGTGATTATGAAGAACAGGACAGTTTTATTGATACCAGAATAATTACATGTATATTGAACTATTCCAGCCTTGTTTTTGAGTGGCAGATTTATTTTTCTCAGCAAACAACTTAAAACTTTACTACTTTACATTTATTTCAAATCTGAATGGAATTCAACATCATACTAAAATCTCTTGGCTAGCGCAACAAGATCTGTTTTCCCTTTCTATCCCTATAACCTGCAGTGTGCTGTAAAAGTCTATTCCAGAGAAGAATGCAAATTATTTGGGATTCTAGAAGAAAATTATCTATCATCCAATTCAGCTAACAAAATCTACATTTGCTAATGGAATAATAGAATAACAGAGTTGGAAGGGACTTTGGAGGTCTTTTGGTCCAACGCCCTGCTCAAGCAGGAAACCCTATACTATTTCAGACAAATAGTTTTATCTTTTTTAAAAAACCTCCGGTGTTGGAGCATCCACAACTTCTGAAGGCAAGTCATATTAATGGATTGCATTCCACTATTGTATTTTTTTTTAAAAGAGACTTTTTATCCAGTAAATTCTAGTTTAGTTCCGTACCACTTTGGTTCTAGTTTGTTTCTCAAATGGGGGTTCAAATACATAAGTAAAATATGATAAATAAAGGCGTTTTACCAGCAAGAGTTTAATTCCTATATCAATGCTTTTGTTCCACCACAGATCAGTCGTGAACACCAGCAACTGCACTGCAGACACTACCACCATATCCAAGAGAGCATGCTCTGTATTTTGCCACACCTAAAACAAGTATTTTTGCAGTTTCGTTATAGAGATATAAGCTACACTTTACAGTTTACAATTGATCAAACACATAATCATTTTTTCAGAACGATAAAATAATATTGCCTAAAACCTACTGGCTTCTCCAGTTTCTAATTTCAACATGTGAAAATACATGAGACTCCATGTTCTTAACAGAAGAATAAGAACATACTTGGAGAAGAGAATAAATGAAATATATAGAAAATTTGGGATACAATTCTGCAGACACAGATTTACATAACACAAAGTCTCTCTCAAACTGGGTTTAACTCCTGATGGTTTCAAGGATATTTCCACTGAGTTTCTCATGGACATATTGAGTTATAGAATAAGACACTGGCTTATTTCACTATAGGCAATCTTTGGTTAATAACAGTAATTAGAACTGGGAACTTTATCACTAAGTAATATGATTATAAAGTGTGATGTCACACAACTGCGCTGATTTTCAATGGCAATTCTGCTACTTCCTGCTGTGGTTTTTTTAGGTGCAATGTCACGATTGCCATTTGTAACCACCTGCCGGTTTCCTCATTGACTTTGCTTGTTGGAAGCCAGCAGTGAAAGTCACAAATGGCAATCAAATGACCACAAGATGCTGCAACAATCATAATTGTGAGCTTGTTGCCCAGCACCAAATTGCAATCACATGACTGAGAAGACACTGTGATGGCCATGACTTTGAGCCCTGGCTGTAAGCCTACTGGCTTAGCACTGTTGTAACTCGGAATGATTGCTGAACAAAAGGTCATTAACTGAGGGGTACCTGCATGCTTTTAAATTTCCCCATCTATCTAACAGCCTTTAAAATCATAGGTGGTTTCCCCATACAAATACTAATTAGGATGACCCTTTCTAGAATCCAAATTCAGCCAAGTTTCAGCTAGAGGTGGCTGCCTGCTATGGTGTGCATCTGAATATGCTTCATTAAAACAGGAATTTACTGAGCTGAGTATAATGCATCTTGGCCATTAATGGAATGTTATTGTATCAATATTTACCAAATGCTAAAAGCTGTTTGACATGTTTGAGGTCAAGCAATGATTTGTCTAATAATGCTACCCAAAACCCTTTAAGTAGAAATCCTTAGATTTAATACTGGTTCTGACATACAGAAAAAATATTCTCTACAATTTTAGTTTCACGGGATCAAGTAATTTCCAATTAGAATGAGTTATTTTATTTAATATATCCAATGGTTACATTGCAAGGTATTGGTTATCTTATAAAAAGCATAAAATATTTGACATTTACCATTCTAAAGCTTCTTGAAAATCCAATGGAAATATATATGGATGAAAGATGATGTAGGGAATTGTCAAGGGAAAGAAATGCTATCATAGCAAATGGTGACACTGAAATTACAAAAAAAAAAGGTACAAGAACAAAGAACTATATATAAAACCTTCAACTGACAATCGTAAATAGCTCTATTCAGTTTTTATATGATCCTCTGATTTTTATTTTATTTGTAATTTCTCTTTGGAATTCTTTGAGAATATAAAAAAAGGGAAGCAAGTAAATACAAGATTGAACAATTTATAAAGTTTTCTCATGTTCTTATTTTCTTACAAATGTCACTTATTGATGGAACAGTGGAATATATATAAACTGCCAAATAAATATAAGTGATGCTCTCTAGTGTATGTAGTACTTTGGAAAAGGGAAAATTCTTTCTGGCATGCAGAATTAATTCTAAAATGTGAGAGGTCTTTGCAGCAATCAGATGTCCCATAATCATTTCATTACTCGGATCTTTCGATTTCAGAAAACAGTATTGAGTCATAATCTAAATTCAACATATAAATGCTCAAATCAAATAAACTTTAGCTCCAAACTTTAGCTCCATAACATCAAACTATTACTCTACGACTAACAGCTAAAAACCAGTAGATTGAGGAAACTGGAACATTTTAAGAATTGAACAATATATTGTTACATATTTGGTAACAATTTTCCTTTGCATGGTTAATAAATGAGAAGTCAGATGACCTAATATTTTTCAAACTACTTAGTATTTTTGCATGAACTATAACTAGCATTGTCTAATGGCCAATATCATTTCCCACGTGTGAAATGCCTCAGAATTTACTGTACATCATCTGTTTGCATATGATAAATCCTGGATGCATAAACTGGTCACCACCACCACCACCCAAATCAAAGTCTGTAGGCAAACCTTCAGTCTCTCCTCAGCTATTAACCATTTTCAATGTTAGATTAAACTTAAAACTATTAAATTTTAAGGTGGGAAAGGAAATCAATTTCAGAAAAAGCACTAAAGTTTGGAAATATGCTTTTACTCAGTTTCTGATCTGATCATCACATTACCCTTGCTCTATTAACATATTTCATACATTTCATAAGATGCATGTTATTCTTTGTGCATTTATATAAAAGAGGAAATTGAGATTTCTTACCTAAAGTGAGTAAAATCTTTCTTAACATACCAAATTTCTTGAGGTTCTTTTCCTTCTTTCCGGATACATTCATTGTCATTAGGTCTTTTGGATAAAAGGGATTTCGGAACAATCCAAACAAATACACAGTTTGAATCTCTCTGAGAATCCATAGAACAAGAAGCAATATTATTAATATGTAACTAATAACACCTTGGAGGCTAGTCTTGGAAAATGGCCGAAAACCAAGGAAGGAGTGCAATAAGCCAGCTTCCAGAAGAACAAAAGTCAATACAATGAAATAGAATATTAATTCCCTCCATACAAACTGCGTTCTACAGGAAGATGTGTTTTTAAATTTGCTGGAAGCTAAACAGCTGATCATAGTATACTTGAAGGTTAATCCAATCTCATTTAGATTAAGACTTAGTATGAATCCACATCCAGTCATGAACAGAACTACACCAAGGGTGTTAGGGATGAAGTAAGATGCAACAGCTGTTCCCAAAGAAGTGATAAACATTGCTAGCAGCCTGTAATAAGAGAGAAAAAAGTATGTATGAAAGAAAGAATTTGTACAAAATTTGTACAAAATTTTCACTCACTTTTTTCCTACTTTATTAAACCCACCACCCAGAGCCACTCTCTGAGAGAGATGGGCAATTAAGCAGTATGAAATATACACACATATATAAATACAAGAAACATTTTCTCTTTCTATAAAATTCTGCCCATTATATATAATGTGGTGACATCATGCTATATATACAGTATTGAAGGTACAAAGGCCTGCAGCTTTAATATGTAAAGTATTCAGAAGACATCTTAAAAGCCCTCATAAAATTACACAATTGAAAAAAAAATCTGTATAACTCTTTATTCAAATAAGAATCCAAGTTACAGCATTTACAATAGAACTTCTGCATGAACATAACCAGTTCAGAGAAAATTTATATCTCCTATGGTAATTGGTTTATCTATTCCACTGTACTATTAGGAAGTAATCTATAGTCTAGGACTTAGGATCCAAGACAAGATAAGATGGATGCATTTATCTGAGAAAATATATAATGTATAATGTATAAAGCTATGTAGCTGAATTACAGTGCTTTATAAAGAATGTCAGCATCTTTAATAATAATTTGTGAAAAATTCATCAAACAAATGTAGTGTTATGTTTATTTAGGCTGCTATTTGTATAAGAGGCAATGATTTGTATGTGTGGAATATAATTACTGAAATCACCAGAAAATAAAATGTGGGCAATTTTACCTGATTTCACTAATGGATTATTCTGCCTCTCAATAATAATATGACTATGAACTAGTCATAATCCATGAACATTTATGCCAGAATAAATACCTTCACATTTTAGATACTACAAGGTTTTTAAAATGCGGCTAACACACTTAACCATCTGGAGATACTGAAGTTATGTAAAATAATGTTTACCTTACATTACTTGACATAGGTGAGCCCCCTAGCCCAAGTTCCAACACTTGTTCCATTCCCCAGAGAAAAAGTGCATCCAATGGAGGCAGAATCCCCAAAGTCCATAAGACAGGCAATGACAAAAATATGATGTGCATAATCTGATTGATCAACTTTAAAGCTAGAGCATCAGCAACAAATCTAAATGGAAGTAGAAAAGAATATTATTTCTGGAATGGAAAAAAATGAAATGGAAAAAGATTTAATATGGCTCTGCCAACATTTCATTGTATTATAAATCTATATCTATTTATAAATAAGGCCAAGTGCATCAAAGAAGTTAGTTACAAAGCTAATATCCTTTTAACAGCACAAATCATTATTTTGCAGTTTGTATATTTTTTTACCTGTGAGCAAGATCCACTGCTATGAAGACAAAAATGTAGAATGGTCTCATAAGAGGAACAATTTCATAAGTGTCCAGTGCTTGGTAAGTAGCAGTCTCTGAAGCGGTGTTAACAATTAAGGAGTATTCTCCAATACACACCGTCAACCATCCAAATATGAAGATCACCACAGTTGTTCCAATATTATCTCCGTACAAGGAGGCAATTCTGCTTGGCAGCAAATACCAAGTTCCTAAGCCACACAGTACTCCAGCAACAAGTGAGTGAAAAAACACATTAATTATATATTTTTTGCCTGGAATAATAAATTTGATTGTCTCTAAACCTATACAGCTAGAAAACTCCCACTCATCTTCCTCTATTAGTATATTGTGGACATGCATTCTTTCTACAGGTGCAGTATTTTGCCTGGCATACAAGTTTATTCCTTGAACAATAATAGCTGCAACAAGCATTAGTCCTCCAGAAAGTGCAGCTGTACAATAGTCTTGCAGAACATTTAACTGATACATAAGTGTTCCAATTCCACCTAGAATCCATGGTATCAAGAAGAGAAGAATCTGATTCAAATATATGTAAGAAGGTGCACAGTATCCAAACTTAAATTGAGGGCCACCCAAAATGGTCTGTGGAAATCGCTTTAACAGGAATTCTTGCTTATGGTCATTCAATAGAGGCACATCTGGGCCCATAATTATTTACTCAAATTTTGACTGAATTTCATTTTTCTAAAGAAGAAAGGGAACAAAAAAGAAAGCAATTTTACCAAAAATGCACTTTTCCATATATTGCCAATAAAGCAGTGGTTTTTTTTAGAAAACTGTCTTACTTTAAGTATCAGAGCATCTGTAATTCATTCTTTTAAAAACCCAATGGACCTCTACTATATTGCTTTGTCCCAAATCTACAGAATACAGAAAAACAGAGTTGGAAGGGACCTTGGAGGTCTTCTAGTCCAACCCCCTGCCCAAGCAGGAGAACATATACCACTCTGGACAAATGGCTGTTTAACATCTTCTTAAAAACTTCCAGTTAAGGAACACCCACAACTTCTGAAGGTAAGCCATTTTCTCACTGTCAGGAAATTTCTGTTTAGGTCTAGGTTGAAAAACTCTCTTTGATACATTTCCATCAGTTACTTATTGTCTTGCCCCCAGATGCTTTGTGGAATAGATTGCCCCCTCCTTTGTGACAGTCTCTTAAATATTGGAAGATTGCTATCTTGTCACTCCTAATCCTTCATTTCGTTAGACTAGACCAATGGTTCTCAACCTTTCTAATGCCACGACCCCATAATACAGTTCACCATGTTGTGGTGACCCCCAACCACTTATACATCACCGGGTGCCAGGGGCGTGGCCAAAGAAAAGGGGGAAAAATGGCGGACAGCCTTGTTTGGCGACCCCCGTGAAATGGTCGTTCGACCCCAAATGGGGACCCGACCCACAGGTTGAGAACCACTGGACTAGACATACCAGTTCCCACAACCTTTTCTCATATTTTAGCCTGCATTTTCATTCCACATTATGTATCATATATTCTTGAGAGCTACTTTTTCTGTACTAATAAAGTAAAAGCTAACAAGATAGCTACTCTATAAGCCAGTATTTTTAATTGTCCCTGTTAGTAAAAAAGTGAAGTGCAATTCCTGAGCTTTCTACTATTACAAAGCCCATAGAAACTAGAAATGTAAGTCTTCAGAATACTGGTTTTCATACTGTGTAAGAAGATAAATTTAAATCAGTATTTTATTAAACTGTCTCTCAAGGGAACACATACTTTAAACAATTTATCTCCTCCTTCCCATACTTCATTCCTTGCTGAATTTTCCATGGCCTACTTGAGCTAGGGATCAACAAAATGATGCTCATGGACATGCAATGTGCCTTCTAAAGTTTCTCTGAGGTTTACTTGCCCAAAAGGTTCTTTGTCTTATCCTGATTTGTGAAGTGTGAAATGTTTGAAATTTGAAATGGTTCAAGCTTAAAAATAGCTGTGCTTTTATTGGAATTGTTCCAGTCCTGTTTTGACCCATTTTGGGGCTGAAATAGTATCAGAATTCTGATAAGGCTAGAATAATCCCCCTGAAAATAATAGTTTCGAGATGGAGTGTTTCAAGCCCAAAATATTTCAAAATGTTTTATACATCTCTAATCCTGACTTGCTCTCCACTGCAACAGGCCCCAGTATCCTGCATTACCCAATTTCATTTGTCCTACTGATCAACTAACAAAATTAATTTGCCCTCCCTGTCAGGGAAGCAGTTGAAAATTACTCCTTTTCCAAAAGTAATAGCAACAAAGCTATTTTAACCTGAGCTGTTCTAACCTGCTTTCCTGCAGGAAGGGGGACTTACAAGAGGACACTTTTTAAAATGTGAGCTTCTATGTAGATGTAAAGATATAATATATAAATAGATCTATATGTATCTATATATTAAAACTCTTTAGAGAGGCTAAGTGTGCCTGTGAAGCCATAATCTGGCATTTTAAAAAGTTGCAGGTTTTCCTTCTTAAGATAAACTTTTGGATCAAATTATATTGGCACAAGAAGGCTCACTAAATTTAGAGGCACTCTGATCTGGAAAGTATTTTTATTGTTAGACTATATCTATTAATATATTTTCAATTCTTCGCTCAGCCATGGAACTTAGAGTCTAACCAGCCTTTATAATGAAGATAAAGGTATCCTTGACAAAAAGGCTGGGATGTAAAATAAATATAAATGTTAATCTAATAGAACAGAAAAAACACCAACATTTTACTGTCTAGACAGCAAAATCAGTTACATATTAAAATTCTTTTGTACTCATATTGAAGTAAGAAAGTGGACTACTGGCATAGGCGTCACAGATCATCTTCAATCTATGAGATTTGTAGTATCCATCAGGGTATCATTATATGCATATGAAGATTTGTGGAGATTTAAATATATACAGCACTGGTCAAAACCAACTTTTTGTTTGTAGCATGCCCTATTGTTGCCAGTTAACCAGAAAATAGGAACATCAGTGCCATTCAGATATGCAGAAAGTGTGAATCATTGTTTTCATCATTGGCTTATACTGGGACATCAAACTCTACCTTAAAAGCACAACTCTGAGGGGCTGATTCCAGAAGTGGCAACACCACTTCGCTCTTTTCACATCCACAACTCTTAACTGATCACATACCTGTCTTTATATGTCAGACTTGTAGCAACGACTCGCAGGCTGCTTAGGGCCTTCAGGCACATAATAAATGGTCAAAAACTGCCAGTAGCCTAAAAATACACAGTAGCTACCATCCGACTAAAAAAGAGCAGCTCAGTTCGCCTCTCCTCACTTGGCAACTGCAGGAGCAACAACAAACAAAGGCTTCCCTTCCCCCTTCTAACGAAAGCATAATTACACAGACGAATACATGCGCGCATGCACACACAAAAATATGCCGCGCGACTAGAGAGGAAATGCCCAACACGCCAGGGCTGCGCCAGAGCCAAACGCCGGTGGCACTTTCCCCCTCCCGAGCTGCTTTGTGTGGTGGTGGAGCGGCGTGAGGCGAACGCGCCCGGAGGAGAACGAGGAGGAGGAGGAGGCCGAGCTTCTGCTAGAGAGGCGGGAAAGCGAGCCAGGTCGGCTCAGCTAGCGTCGCTCTTCTTAGCCGCCTCTCGAGGTTGGCTGGGTACGACCTGCGACTGCTCTCGCCCGCCCCGCTTCTTCTCACGACTGACGCCATGTTTTCCCCCTTCTTGCTTGTGGGAACAAAAGCGAAGGTGCAGAGAGAGCCAGGGGAGAAACAAGGAGGTCCCGAGCAAGCGGGAGGGTGGGCGCCATACATACCTGCATCTTCCCCTCCTCCCCTCAATGCGGCCAAGCCCCCTCCTCTCGTCCAGCCGCGGCCGCCCGTGCTCCGACCTGCCCCGCTCCCCCTGCAGGAGCGAGAAAGCGGCGCGTGAGGGTTGGCGCGATGGCCCGTTGTCCTGGAAGGGGGAGAAAGGACGTGGTAGCGTCGAGCGGGAAAACCTCTCCCTTGGCTGCCTTCAGCCGTCTCCCCTTTAGGCTCGCCGGGTCTAGGCGCTCGCTTTCCTACGGGAGAAATTCCAGAAATCCGGAACCCCGAAGATGATTGTGGCGCTTTGAAAGCTACTTGCATTGCGGTCCTGCAGATGCCGCCTCAAATGTAGGTAGCCTGGAGTCCAGCGGCCTCTACTCCTAGGAAGTGAGTGGCAACCTGCAAGGTTGTGAAAAAGCATTTGCCCCGTGGGGATTTTCTGACCTTTTGCGGATCTTTGTCCGCTGAATGTTATCAGAGATCTGCATAAAGAGGGTCTGCACGAACACCACCTTAAGTGCTTGTTTTAGTTCGGTGTAAACAAATTAGGCGGCACATAATATGTTAGTGTGAAAAAATAATTGCCCCGTTTAGATTCAGTAATGTTATTTAATTTATGTGCTTCTCCGCAACTCTAAAGCTGTGGCACCAACTTTAGCAGCGGTAACTGAAACCCAAACACTCTGTGAGTCCGATCAATATCTCACATTGCAATTGGACAGGCTGAATTCATGCTGGGTGAAGGTGGTAGATCTCAGCATCTTTTCTGGATCTTAACAACTCTAACTTTGCCTTCTGCTTTGGAGTGATAGTTCTCACTATCACTACCTATTTTCTGGGACCTATTTCACTTAACAACCACCTGATAAAACCCAATGTATGAGACAGTCCTGGAGACTCTTCATGACTCCAAGGACCACAGCATGCCAGCTCCCCACCCCTCCACTATCCCCCTGAGTCTGTCTTACTATACAGAACAGGCAATTAAAAAGTAAAAGTGCAAAATATTTTCAATACTTCTGCCTATGCATGTAGCCTAGAGTCCAATGACTAGGTGAGTGATGGCGAACCTTTTAGAGACCGAGTGCCCAAACTGCAACCCAAAACCCACTTATGTATCCTCGGGTGCCCGGTAGACATGGCCTATTGAATGGGTATGGCCCATTGGGTGGGCATGGCTGTGATGGTAACGGCAGACTGGGTGGGACTAAAAAGTTCAATCAATCAATTCCAACTTTGCAAGATCTTCCCCCCCCCAAGAAGCTGGAATTGATTAATTTAACCTTTTTTTTTTTTTTGCACACGGTGGCGGAGGTCTAAAGCGAAAAGGTTTTATAAAACTCAGCCGAAGGCCTGGGATTGGGGCGACGGCGCACATGCCCACAGAGAGGGCTCTGCATGCCACCTGTGGCACCCATGCCATAGGTTCGCCACCACAGGACTAGGTAGTTGAACTTTCCTTCTATGGGAAATAATACCAACTTCACTAGAGATAAAACTGCTCAAATACTTTTTTAAAGTTTAAAGTTAAAAATGTTAAGTTTCAAAATGCAAACATTCAAAGAGGAAGAGGATAAACCCCAAGAGCAGTGGTTCTTAACATTTCTAATGCCGCGACCCCATAATACAGTTCCCCATGTTGTGGTGACCCCCAACCACTTATACATCACCAGGTGCCAGGGGCGTGGCCAAAGAAAAGGGGAAAAAAATGGCGGACAGCCTTGTTTGGCGACCCCCGTGAAATGGTCGTTCGACCCCAAATGGGGTCCCGACCCACAGGTTGAGAACCACTGCCCAAGAGTATTCTAGATGGCAATAAAATAGCTTTTTAAAAGAAATATACAAAGGAAAATGAAGTTCATAAAGAGTATAGCAAATTCTACCACCCTGTGGTCTGTTTGGAGCATTGCAGCCCAGGATATAGCCTTGGCACTAAGTCTCATTAAACGGTACTTGTTAGATGTGTCAAATTAATATTATACACTGCAAGACGTTTTTCAAGTGATACTGTATGAGAAATACAACAATGGTTAAGATATGTTTGGGTTGTTTGTCTTTCTTCATTACCTGCTTGCACTGCAGCCCAGCTGACTGATTCTTTTGCAGCTAAATTAAAAAGGCAGCAAAATTATCTGTCCTTCTAGATGTCTCTCCTCCAGTTGCCCCTTCAAATGAGCCAATGTTGATAGCTGCTTCTATCTAATTAGAGACTATATCTCTAGCCATGCCTCACAAAATGGGCGTGATTAGGCTATCAGATGTGAGCTGCAAAACTCTAGATGATTACAGGATGATAACAAAAAGACAAAACAAATGAAATTTGGTGTTATCTTTGCAGCCCAGATCTGGTAGTATTACTTGGAATTACAAAATTTTAGAGGTTGAAAATACCTCCGGACAGGATACTTGCAACTACAACTCTGACAGATTGCCATAGAGTCCCCAATAAATTACTATTCATCTCCAGAGATTTGAAAACTTTATTGCATTTCATTTCTCTTTTTCAAGCTCAAAATATCTACTTTTATCTATTGCTTCTTGAAGAATGTAATTTCCAGGCATTATATTTCCCAGTTTATTCTTTAGGCTCACTCTAGTCTTACAATGTCCTTAAAATGTGGCAGTCAGAATTGGCAATTATGGTCTGGATATTAATATAGATTTTTTTCAGAAATATGCTATTGCAGTACATGAAACCAATCTTAGTATTGTAATGTATATGCAGATACTAATTCTGGAAAATAATGTCCCTTTATAATTGGAAATTTGAGAAATACTGATTTCTGTCTGAGTATCAAGATTACAGTTTACTGATTATTATGTAGCATCTCATGTTCTAAAACAATAATTTAGCTGCTGTAGAAAATTTAATTGGATTAATACATTGAATCACAGTTTAAAGCTGTGATTACTTTTTAATTGCTTCTCATAACTGAAAAATATAGAATTTTGTTTGCTGTTCTCCAAATGAGGTTTTAAATAGGCCTTCATTATTTTATTGCCTAGCTTTACTTAATTTGTTCAGACAGATTCTTAGTTTCTGTTGCTAATATAATTCCTTGCAAATAGAGCAGAAGGTTCATCAGAACAAAAGAACTGATTTATTTTTAATAATAGAGCAAGCATTGTCCATCTAATCATGTACTATTCATTTCCTATTTCTGAATGTTAAAGTCTCTCTTTTTGCTCCCAATTTGGCCTCATTTGCATCAAAGAGCATAAGTTATGTTATTTTTAATCTAGACCTTCATATTGAACATCTTCAAAAATATATGGTATATGGGGTATTGCTAACATAATTTTAGGTACACTCAAAGTGGTTTTCTAAAAATGAGGTAATCACATGCTAAAGGATTGCAGAAAAGCAAGGAAGCAATCTGGCATTTTATTTCATGTCCAATTATGTTTTTTTCTTTTGAGCAACAGTGAAGATTTTCTTTACATGGTAATGTGGGACAAAAAGGAGGAAAGACACTTAGATTTCTGCCCTGGACGCCTTACAGTCTAAAACAGCCCTCTCCAAACAATCAAAGCTATATGAAAAATATGAGTTTTGAGCAGGATTTCTCAATGGCTTACAGCGGAAATTCTGATCTATTCAATTGTTGTCAAAAGACAAAGATTACCTGTAAACGGACATATCACTGGTTTAGTCTTTACTTTGGAGTACAATAGGCATTATCTGTAGATCAAGACACTGACTTCTGTTCTTTGCCATGGTCAGATATCATTGCTACATTTTCTTTTATGATTGTCATTAAATGAAACAGGAGAATTTCAAGTAATAAATATAATTTGAACAAACAGGGTCACAAAAAAGCCATATTTGGAAAGGTTAATCCAAAACCAGCCCAAGTACAACTTATTTTTCACTGGCCAAGGCATACTGATGGATTGTTGAGATGGGGAACGAGATACAAATGAAGTATCCTGGCAAAGGAGAGGGAGTCCTCTAACTTCATTCCATTTGGAGTGTCACATGTGTCATCATTTTTTTCTTTTAGGTTTTATTGGTTTTATTGTAATTTTTTATTTGTTTTGAGCTGTCCAGAGTCACTGAGAGTTGGATCGAATACACATGTATTAAATTATTATTATTTTTAAAAGCCTTACCTGGCAAGCTGTAATACTTCGTATAGCAATATCTTCAATATGACCCAATTGTTTAAACGACTTAACAAATATGGCTGGGATGAGGTTGCATATAATTGGAGCTGGCAACAGCATTTCAGCATGTAACATTTTACTCTCTTTATTTTACATGTAGATGAACCTATGCCTCAACTGCAGGACTAGAGGTCGTCTCCACACACACATCAAAACATTATTTCATGACAAAGGTATACAACCTGCAGCCTAGAGGTTGCTTATGAGAGTCAACCCTAGAGTCTTCCTAGCTTTGTTATCTCCAGCGACAGAGCCTCCTGTTGCTGTTACCACCACCACCTCCCTTTGCCTCACCCTGCAGCCCCCTCTTTGTTTGAAAGCTCTGTATTTAGACATTAGATTCTACTTTTAGGTTTTGGGGCTCACATCTTAATTTATTTTGAACTTGGAGATCAATTGAGATGTGAAGGGAAAATGTTATTTTAAGAATATTTGCATGTGTAACTTAATTTCTCACCCATTAAAAATATTTTTTCGTTTCCCTGCCCAAAATGGTGTTCAGAGGCTAATATTTGGTGCTATAAGAGTTTTGTGTGAGTTTGTGTGCGATGAGTGTGTGCATGCACGTGCTCATCTTTGGCATCAATGTTGACTTCTGACCATTCCCTGCAGTTTTCTTGGCAAGATTTCAGAAGTAATTGGCCATTGCCTCCTTCCTAGGAGTGAGAGAACGTCCAAGTCACCCAGCTGGCTTTGTGCCTAAGGCAGAATTGGAAGTCACAGTGTCCTGGTTTCTAGCATGATGCCTTCACATTACACCAAACTGGCTCTTATACACCTTGGGTTATGAGAAATATACATATAGCACATGCTGATTTCAGTTTGCCATTTATTTTACAAACCTGAAAAAGAGTTTTCAGCTTTTTTTCAGCTCTCTCCCATCTTTCTGTTTTGACTCACAGTGAACCAGCAAAACGCCACATTCTACATTATCAAATAATTAAAAAAAAACTAGCACTGAAGGAATCTTAAAGAGCATTAAAATGCAACAAACTAATATGTCTTAATCTCATTTATTTCTGAAAAAAAACTAATTAAGAGGAAAGGCTGTTTTCATCAAAAGGAAAGCTGATAAAAGAGCTTGTTGTTACCGGATTACTTTTAAGCATTATTGTAACACATCTTTTTTTGTGTGTGTTCTTAGTTCTATTTTTCAGCAAGATTTCTCATCAGAGGTTTGATTTAAACTGCCATCCAGTGTCCTCTTGTGGCCAAATGCT